TTTTTTTTTTTTATTTTTTTTTTTTTTTTTTTTTGTAAGCTAATACTATCAACCCCATGGAGGAAATTTACCATAGATGAAGTCTACTTTTGTCACATCCTCTATCTACCTATGCCCCTCAGGTTCATGATAAGAATGTACGGACCTCTGAAGAAGACTGATGGCATCTGCCTGATTGTCAGGGGGATCTGTGGGAGGGAGATGGGCATATGCTCTAAGAAAAGATGTCAAGTGAATAACCAGGAGTGGAGAATGGACAAGGGTCACCACCACTATGTGGTGGCAGCATGGGAAAGGAGAGGACTCTGCTCTTGCCATTTAAGTGTTTCTACCTCAGTACCATAAGCATGGTGAGAAACAGATTCATTGACTGTTTTTTACTTTGAAGTTTATGGATTCCTTCCCCTACCAAGAGGAGAAAACCATCATTATCACCACATGTCAATAATAATTGAACATGTGGTTATGTGGTTCCAAACAGCACATTACAGGCAAAGGACAACTCAGATCAGTGTTTAGAATTTGACAGTGCCTTCAGATTCTAAATCACTCACAGTAGAAATGTTGTGTACAAACTGATGAGTGAGGTGAAAAAGAAGCACATGAGAGAATGAAAGAGAATGGGGTCCCAATGTCTCCTCTGACTCAGCTGATAAAAACTGAGAATGAATTCAAACCCAGAAGTCATTTATTTAAGCCTATCATTGATAAATAGCAAATGAAAACCCTAAGGGATGCATTAAAAGTACAGACTTCTCAGAACCCTCTCTGCCAGTTGGCTTGCAAAGACAGTTCCCTTGCCGTCCCTAAGTTCCCATGTCAGTGTTGTGTTGGGTTAGCGTCAGCCTCCTCAGTGTTTGTCCTTTCCCTCTCTCCCAGCCAGTGCCCAGCAGTGAAGCAGGGTAAGGAGAGAACTCACAGTGTGGGGCTGCCTCAGCACCCTGTCTGCGCTCGGGCTCCTGGCTGCTATGGCCTTAACAAACTCTCTTTTCTGTGCCTCCAGGAAGCCTGACTGCTGAGATTGTGTTCTCAAGGAGCTCCAGTACAGCGTCTGGTTTGGACTGATCTAAATAAATGTGAGGCTCCTCAGTGCATAAGTGTCCATCTGTTTATGCCTTTCCATGTGGAAAAACCATTTAGAAAGTTGGAATTCTTTAGCCAGACTGTAAGCAATCTCAGAAAACCTCAGACTCCTCTTTCTCTTCCCAAATCCACTTTCCTTCCACAGAGGTTTCTAACACCATCCTTGTCCCTAGACAGTGTATGACAGAGCTGAGTTGAACTCTACACAGTACCAGGTGCTGAGAGAGATGCTAAAGATAACTTGCCTCTTCCTCTCTGGTCTTTGCAGTAAAAGTTGGATAATGACAGGATGCGCGTCCATCACAGAGACACAGACAGCAAGACACATAAATATGTACATAGCTAATTAGAGACAGAGCACTAAGACTTGAGGTCTTGGAGATACTGAAGAAATTACATCATGTGCTTAAGCCCTAGGGAAAGAATCTGCTTTTATTCTTATAACAAGTAACATATTAAAGGCATTCTGTGATAGAATCTGCAAGGGAGAGCAACAATTCCTCCCATCCTAGGAAAGGCCTGGTAGTCTTCCCATCAAGAGCTGGCATCGCCCTAGCCAGGTAGCTCAGTTGGTTAGAGTATCACCCTGATATGCCAAGATTGTGGGTTTGATCCCGGGTCAAGGCACATACAAGAATCAACCAATGAATGCATAAATAAGTGGTACAACAAATAGATGTTTCTTTCTCACATTTTCTAAAATCAATTTTTTTAAAAAAAGAGTTGGCATCTATTTCTCCACCTCATGAATCTGGGCTGACCATGTAACCTGCTTTGACCAAAAGAATGTAGCAGAAATGAGAATCTAGTAGTTTCTGCTTGTTTTTGCAAGTTGGCTTCCATTTAAAGAATCTCAGGATAGATTACTAGATTATTAGAGGCCATATAAAGGACAACAAGGCAGCCTCGTTGACAGACAGTACAAAGGGTCTAGACATATGTGGTCACCTTGGACCCTACAGCCATAGTCAACCCCAGTCTACTCCTTGTGGAGTAGAGACAAATTGTCCCTGCAGAGCCCTGCCCAAATTATAAAATCATGAGCAGATAAGTGGACAGTGGTTTTCAATCCACTGAATATTGGGGTGGTTTGTTACACAGTAATAGGGCGGGGCAAAAGTAGGTTTACCATTGTGAGTATGCAAAATAGTTTATTCTTGTATTATTATTTATTAATTATTGTATTCTTTTCCATTCAAACAACTGTAAACCTACTTTTGCTCCACTCTGTATATAACTAAAACAGCCTTCTATGCAGCAGTCATTGAACTAAGAGTTTTGTCTCTTATTACTCATTTTACAAACGAGTGAACTGAAGCTCATAAATTGCTCCAAGTATGCAGCTGGTAGTAACAGAGCTAGCATTTGAACCAGGTGTGTCTGACCTCAAGCTTCCCTATTTCCTCTCATCTCTTTTACTCAGTGACCCCCACTGTAGTCGGTATGGGCTTAAGAAAGACAAGATTTCCAGAATCCAGTAAATATAAGGCAAGGTTTTGAGGAGGAAGGGGATGTGTTTTGGCTACGAAGAGTGTGAAAGGCTTTTCTAAGTTCAGACCAAAGATCTATTTTAAGTTGAGACAAAGTATCTACTCCAGCCTTTCTCAACTGAAGTTCTATGATAATTAAGTGCTAATGCCCCAAGGCATCCATTGTATATCATAAATTAACTTCTTCCTCTGTATCTAGAATATAACTAGTTATGTACCGTCCTTGGGAAAATTGGGGAAATAGGCACATAAGTCATTTGTAGGGTCTAATGTACATAACCCCTGCTGACACTGTTGGGGGGGAGGGCAGAGTCCAGAGCCAGCCAGTCATGTACCCAATGGCTAAAAAGGAACTCCAGCCAAGCAGGGCCTATGTCAGGAAGGAGTGAAATACTTCTAGCTATGATGCCCTAAGGATCAGTTAGACCTTCGGCCTCAGCCCACAGCCCCATACCTCTGCTGTTTGTTGAAATACTCAAAGGCCCTTAAAGGTCATACATTCTTAACCTTCATAGTGAAAGAATAAAATCTTCACACTGAACAAGACGCCCAGGTACTCCTTCTGCATTCAAGAACTAGAACCCTTGTTTTCCTCATTTATGCATTCAACACCGTGGAGTACCTTCTGAACTAAGGCCTACCGTGTGCCTGGGAGGGGGGTGTAATTTCTTCATCAATTCACGTATTTATTATTTATCCAAAATCTTAAACATCTATTCATACATATGCATCATTTGGGGTTGAGCTGAGGGGGACAAATAGTTCCCAGATTAGCGGCCTTATGCTGAGGGAAGAATTCTTGTGCCTAAAATCTGTGTTTTCTAACTTTGTTGTCATTTGGAAGAGAAAGTAGTTCCACTGCTTTTTTTTTTCTGGTACTGCAACAGCTTTTAAAATCATCATTCGGCAAAAGAAAATTGGAGACGCGTTTCCTTAGGAGAAAATAAATTCCAATTTGCTAAAACTGCTTCCCCCGCTTACCTGAAGGTGGGCGAAGAAGTGTGCGCAGTGTTTCCCCACTCAGGCTGCTCCTAGCGGAGGAAAGAGTGCAGTTAATTAACAGTCTCTTTCCCCCAGATCTCCACTTTATCACTACCTGCCTGGACGGAGGGAGGCATCTGGCTCTGGATTCCCCACCTCCCTAGAACCTGAATCCTAGAAGCAACTAAAATTCCACTCTCACCAGCAAGCCTGGAGAAAAAGCAGCAATCCTCCTCTCTCAGGTTTTCCTCCCATAAGCTTGCAAGTTCTGGGCCTCCCCACCCTTCCCTTTATCACACAGCCACAGAATCCCCAGGCTCCTCTGCACCCTGTGGCATTTCTTACAGCAACATCTCACTCCTAAAAACCTCGCCATCTCAACTTCACCGCTTAAAACCAGGAAGTAAGCCAAAAAAAGCCCATAAATGGTCCAAGTAATGGTCACACACACACTGGAGACTAAAATTCAAGCTCTTGCCCGGCCGGGCGTGGCTCAGCGGTTGAGCATCGACCTAGGATCCAGGAGGTTGGGGTTCGATTCCCGGTCAGGGCACATGCCCGGGTTGCGGGCTCGATCAATGACTCTCTCATCATTGATGTTTCTGTCTCTCTCTCTCTCCCTCTCCTTTCCTCTGTCTGAAATCAATAAAGATATATTTAAAAAATAATAATAAAATAAAATAAATAAATAAAACTCAAGCTCTTGGTTTCCAGGAAAGCTCTTGGGCCGCTTTTAGGATCTTTTAATTTTTAGACCATTTCTAAGAAGCTCTGCCCGGTCCATTCACAGGCAACACCTGGAAACAACAGAGAGCATCCCTACCTCCCAAGCGGGCTTGCGGGGTTTACAAGCACGGCTTGGAGTTTAGAGGTAGTAAGTTTACAACCCCCCCTCAAAAGCCCCTGGAGGCACACAGCATAAAACTTGATATTCGTGATTCTGCTCCGAATCACTTCCCCGCGACTGTCACTTTCTTCCCTTCACAGAGAGCCCAGGGGTCGGAGGCAACCATTGCCTCAAGCCCGCCCCCCCACAGACACCCAGGAGTCGGCGCTGGATTTGAACCCAGTTCTCCCTGTCTTTCAAGCCCATTGTGGTCTTTTGTATTTCTTTTCCATCGCTTTCATTTAATTAAAAAAAAATTTTTTTTTCAACTACAGTTGACATTCAAGACTATAGTAGTTTCAGGTGTGTAGCATGGCGGTTCGACGCTTCTGGAACGTATGCGGTGAGCGCCCCGATAGGTCTAGTACCCACCTGGCCCCGTACAGTTAGACACTGTGATGGACCGTGTCCCCTGAGCTGTCCTTGACATCTCCGGACTATTTTGCAACTTGCCCTTTTGACCCGCTGTCGTCTTTTACGTCTTGGCCGCCTCAGGCTCTGACGGGCTTGCTTTAAAAAGCCGCGGCAGAGGCACTTCTCAGACAACCCCGACATTCCTAAATTATCGGTGTTTAGCAACTACGGTGACTTGGACAGGTCACCTCTGAGGAAACCGGGCAAACGCGGCGCTGGCCTGTGGCCTGAGCGCGAGGGAACGGATTTCCTCAGGCCCAGCGTTAGCTTCAGGGCCCACGGCAGCGAGGGGCGTTCGGTGACCCCGCGGGTCGCTGGGGCCACAACCCCCGGCTCCACTAGGCAGGACGAGGAAGCGGCGGAGAAGACGGGGTGACGGGGCGCGAAACCCACACTTGCGGGCTAGTGAAGGT